GCAAAACTGCATCTCTCTTGGACAGAAAAATTGGACAGACATACCATATCTAGTATTTATCTACACTTCTGAAGCTAAAATATATCCTGCTTTAACATTTTAATACCAATTTTACTCATTTAAAAATCTCACAAATAGTAATGGTTTGAAATGAGAATATGATACAGTCTGAGATCAAGTTTGGAGAAATCTCAGCCCAGATGCTTGCTGCTGTCTTTATTCACTCAATCATATATTTTAATAATGTTTATTAAGTGCAAAATATTTCTGTAGATTCAAAACTTATCTTTCTGGTGCAGAAAAGAACGAGTGCACTCATGGGCCCCGGTAAAATGTGAAAAAATGAAGAATCAAATGAAACTTAATTTGCCATCTCAAATCATTAATTGATATCTAAACCATAAGAATCAACAAATTTTATCACTGGTATTCATGAATATACAAAGAGAAAAGCCATACAATGTGGTAGGGGTCAGTCGACATTCATGATTTTCTATAGTAAATCGACTACGGTCATTCATTTCAAAGCTTTTGTTTTCTGTCAGCCTAATGTTGTACAAACTTGTGCGAATGACAAAAAACGCATTATACATTTATAAAACTTGTGTGAAAGTAGGAAATTTGTACAAGATTAGGCTGGTACTTAAAATATTAAAAATGTATGTAAAGTTCAACGTTTTTCCTATAGCAAGCAAGAGCTATTTACCTGTATGACCTGTGTTGAACCCACCTGTGGAATAAATTATTTAAAATAACGGTAGTCACATGAGTTCTACCCAGGTAAACATTCCACAAATGTGCTCACTGTAAAACATAGCCACGTTTTATATCATTATATCAAAGTCGTACCACTTAGAGATGTTGTATGTATTTGGTTTTAGGAACACGGGAGGGTTAGGAGTGTTTAGTGTCGTTAAAATGTCATCATACATAAAAGTGTCAAACATTTTTAACATTCATGCAAGACAATGGTACCGGTATTGAAAGCCACCTAAATACAATTTTTTCTTTTCAAAATTTAAAGGAACTAATGTTAATACTTATTGCATTTTTTCAAATGCAAGCATGCAAATTTCTTAGTTTGATCACTATGGCTACAGGCATCTATAAACTTCATTCGATTTTTTACAGGTAAAATAGCGCAAGAAGTATTCGGCAAACGCGCCCGTCAATGATCCACCATCAGATTGTTCAAGTGTCAATTTAAATGTCTCCTCCCCTTGATTTAAATAAACGAAACTCAAAATAGGTTCGATACGACTTTTCCGGATTTGGGGTATCTATAGGCATTAAAACTCTTCATTTGTTTTAAATCCATGCTGATTTAGGTGACATTTTAGCGTAATTTTTAATTAGAAATATCCACTTGTGTTTAACTATTACCAAAAGAGAACGATTTGGTCATATATTCTAAAGTAAAACAGCTCTGAAAAAGGGCCCATTAAGCATTGCTTAAGTGCACTTGTCCTTTGGACAGACATACCAGACCTGGGACAGAAAATTCAAACAGACATACCATCTCTGGTATATCTCTCTGAATTTTCTGTCTCAGAGAGCCACAGTTAGCAGCTAAAATATATGTTGCTTTAACATTTTAATTTAATTCCAATTTTACTCTTTTAAAGCTATATATAATTTATTCCTATTCATGGTATGCATAACTATAAAGAAAAGATACTCTATGGTCATAGTCCTGGTGTAGATGAAGATTTAAAGCTATATATGGTGTATCTGAGCTAAAAAATAAAAATACGAGATTGAGTGAAGATCGAGATTGAGTGAAGATAAAATGATATATGTTATTTACATTCAAATTTAAATTTTCACGGATTTTAAACATGAATAACCTCATGTTTCTATTGTCAAACTGACCTTAAATTATGTCTGTTATTTAAATCCGGAGGCAGTAAATAAATCAGTTTTTGTTTTAAATTTCTAATATCTTTGAAACGTGATTGATTTAAATTGTGTAATTTACAGGAAAGTCCTATCTTTACTTAAAGTAATAAAACAACTAGAAAGATCTTTTTAATTTTAGTTAGTCTGAACTTATAAAAGATATGCCATATATGACTTTAAAAATCACACACACACACACACACACACACACAAATGGTTTGAAATGAGAATGTAATACAGCCATTGTTACAAGGCAAGTTGGAGAAATCTCAGCCCCAGATGCTTGCCGCTATCTTAACAAGTCCAAAATGTATCAGGGCTGTTACACTACTAGATATATGATATGTCTAAGTTAATGTCTTCTGGAACATATAATCTTACTGAGGTTGGAGAAGAAAACCAGTCCATTTATTGCATAGCAATATTTGCATTTTAATTAAACTCTTTTATGTTACAGTGATTAACAATGGATTTGGCAAAAGTGAAAAATGAAGACAAATTAGACTTGTGCAGAAAGTATTACATTGGTAAGTCTTTAAAAAAAATGAGAGATATCTTTTGCATCAATCTATTTTTGATTTCAAAAACCGTATTTGCTCTCAAGTAAGCTCCCTCCTTTTTTTTCTAATGTAAATTAATGTGCTAGTAAATCATTTATTTTTTAACCAGGTGGCTTTGCTTTCCTGCCTTTTTTATGGTTTATCAACTCTGTCTGGTTCTTCAGGGAGGCCTTCCTAAAACCAGAATACCAAGAACAAAAACAAATCAAGACATGTAAGTTAGGAACCTGTTAGACCACAGGGGTTCTTCAACATTTATTTTATGATGCAAATTTCAAGAAAAGCTGTTTAATCAAGAAAACCAAAATAAATTTTGAATTTGTTAAACCAAATCATGTTCTTATATATAACTCATGAACATGTAGAATAATAATCCTTGTAACATCTTTATAAAAATTATTTTTAAATATACCTATAAAATATTACTGATCCTGAAAGAATGTATATGATACTATGTTTTCAGATGTAATACGGTCAATGATTGGAACAGTGATATGGATAGCCATTATAACAACTTGGGTGGTTCTTTTCCAGACCAATAGGGTGGCATGGGGGATCACTGCAGACAAAATATCATTCCTTATTCCTACAGGAATACCATGAAAATGGTAACATTGTAAGCTAGCTTATCTTTGCTTCCCTGAATTTTTTAATGGATTTAACAAGTGCCATTGATACCAGTTTTCTATGTTACTTGATACATGGATTTTTTTTTATTTTAGGATAATTCAGAACCATGCAAACTCATAAAGAAGTATCATTGAATGATTCTCTAATAAGAATAGCCAAATTCAAAACAGTCAGTTACATTCTTATCATTGAAGATCTCTTTGTCTAAAGGACGACATGTAGTCTGCTTCAAAATGTAAATACAATTATAAATGTGTTTAAGAGGTGTATTTATTTTTAAACTTGGTGCTCGTGAACAAGTTTACAAGTGATCTGTGTTGTACACTTGGCCTAGAAGACATAGATCATTTGAGAAGTCTTCTGCCAAAGCTGTATACATTGTATCTTAATAGTGAAATGTAATATGTGTGTGAAAAGCTCATATAAATGTAAACGTAGTTGCCAAGAGAGAGAGAGAGAGAGAGAGAGAATAGCTTTATGTAATTTCTACTAGAATAAAAGACAGATTGAACCGTTATAAAATATTACAGATGTTGTGTACGACCTTTTTCATTTCTTATTCAATCATATATGGTCTTACTTAATTATGCACATACTGTGAAATCATTTAAATTCTTGGGGATCAATATTTGTGGGCAACCAACATTCTACTGGTTCATAAGGACAAAATTTTATGGGTAAGCTGTATGTACAGAAGATTCAGTGAACAAAATACTACTACTTTGATAAAGTTATAGTATGTAGGGATGAACATTCATGGGCAAGGGTTACCTATGAACATTGGTCTCCCATGCACATTGATGATTCCACAGCAATTGAGTATAAATACCAAATGAAATTTCTCTGAAAATCTACGATAAATAATAGTGTGCAGTGAAAATGTGTATTTTCGACTGATCCAAATACATGTCTACTAAGTTACCCGAGTAATTAATCAAACAAGAGGCCCAGGGGCCCTATTGCTCACCTGAGCACTTTGGCTAGGAAAAAGCAGAAATCAGTTCAGTCTTGAAAGTTTAAATATAAAAGTGGTTTCGAAGAGGGTGGGGGGTATGATTTGAACTAACTTGAATCTACACTTCCTACAGATGCTTTAGCATTAATATGACACATAATGGCTTTGCTGTTCTTAAGAAGAAAATTTTTATTGATATATCCCTTATATTCATTTGTATAACTATGATCCCCTGTTATGGCCCCTCTCTTCTCCTGGGGGGGGGGGGGGTCATGATTTGAACAAATTTGAATCTACATTACCGGAGGATGCTTCCATTTAAATACAAGTAATTGTTGCTTTGCTGTTCTTGAGAGGAAGATTTTTAAAGATTTTTCCCATGTATTGATTTGTAAAACTTTGATCGACCATTGTGGCCCTCAAACTCTACCCCCAGGGGTCATGATTTGAACATATTTGATTTTACACTACCCAGGGATGCTTCCATATAAATATGACCAATCATGACTTTGCTGTTCTTAAGAAGATTTTTAAAGATTTTCCCCATGTATTCCTATGTAAAACTTTGATCGCCCATTGTGGCCCTACCCTACCCCTGGGGGTCATAATATGAATAAACTTGAATCCACACTACCTCACAATGATTCCACATAAGTTTCATATTTTCAAGCACAGTAGTTGTTGGGAAGATTTAAATGATGCCATTAATTTTTCACGAATTCATATTATCTCCCCTTTGAAGAAGGCATGGCCCTTCATTTGAACAAACTTGAATTCCCTTCACCCAAGAATACTTTGTGGCAAGTTTGGTTGAAATTGGCTTAGTGGTTCTTGAGAAGATGATGAAAATGTGAAAAGTTTATGACGACTACAACTATACAGACAAATTTCAATCAGAAAAACTCACTTGAGCCAAGTTCAGCTCAGGTGAGCTAATAATAAACAAAAACAACACCTTTTTAAATGATATACTTTAATTTTAATAACACTGTCATTCTGGCATGCAGTCATGAACAGAAATGAATGGAAAACAATGCACCATATTCATTTATAATTTTATGTACATAATTATTATTTAGGTTTCACATTTTTTTTTTTTAAATTGAAAGTTCTGTTTAAATAGCAAAAATTCCAATTCAAATAAAATCAAAACAGTATTGATTGTTCAATAATAAGCAGAGAAGATTTTTATTACAATGTACATTAATTTTATGATTGCTTCCAAGTAAGTATGATTATTAATCAGTAAGTAAAATAAATCTATATACAAATCAAGTATCACACAGAGCGAGTCAGTACGACAAGTGTTCATTTCAATTAATGCTAAAAAAAATCTGTCTTGTGTGTAGTGGTGAAAATTTAAATGTGCATAACAGATGACGGATTTAAGGAAATTTATTGGTTATTATCTGGAGATAAGTTATAACCATGTTTTACTTAAAGTCTAGTACCTCGTTTGTTGAGCACTATATTCCACCATTATAACAAAGTAACTACTTTCTGCTCAAAGCAGCTGTGCTAATCATTGTAAGTTATATTATTTAAAGTGCTATACACACAATTTTTGAAACATTGTCAATGCATTATAATATAATTAGAAATGAATTGATTTGTCAAAGCTAAGCTTTATTAGGGATTTTATGATTTGCTGCACTTAAAATATACTGGTAGACCAAAATGAATGCTATATACAGGGTGTTCCAAAATATATGTTACATTTTGAAAGTTCAATTTCACAAACACAGGAAAAAAAATAAGACAAGTGTTTTTATCAACTTGATGCATGTATCTATAAGATTCATTATGTACAATTACCAACTAAAATATTACACATTGGACGAAATCCCAAACATTAATGAAAATTAGTGAAATTTCTAAATTACGTCATTTTTGTTACGTTGAATTTCACAATGTCAAAAGCCCATATTATATGTTCTTGATGATCTCCACTATTTCAACTACAAATGAAAGTTGCTTCTCGAAATTTGTATAACCTTGTCACACATTTTTGCTTAGACACTCCTCATTTGAAGGTTTATATGTTTCTTTTGAGCTCATGCAGTATCTGTGGTCTAGGATTGTAGACCCTGTTCCTAAAGAACCCCACAGAAAAAGGCCCAAAGATTGATATTGGCCAATGCAGAGATCAAACTCTTTTCTTGGGATATTGCATTATTGAAAACTTGTACACTGATAACTTCATATCATATTTCAAAGTTCAATATATGCTGGAAATGCTGATATTGCCAGCATCAATTTCTGAAAACATCTATATGACACTTTTCTCAGGAGTTTGCTAAACTATCTAAGAGTCTACACTTCACCAATTAAATCTTCGATTATTGAAGTCTTTAGGCTTTCTGGAGCACCGTGTCATTTATCGCATATTGCTCGTCCCTGTCCTTTAACCTTGTTAATAGCCTTCTGATAAGCATTTTAAAAAGCTTCCATTCTTTTGAATATTTCCTTTATCAACTTCTGAATGAATATTACTTTTTATACTTTTTCATATGGAATGAAAATGCAGGATTTGATGTTTAAAATGATATATAGTTTGTAATAAAATTATGATAGGTAAGAAAAATAATTAGATTTAAAAATGTAACATATATTATGAAACACCCTGTATTAAACACAATACAGACTTATATACCACACTCTTATGAGTTTGAATTTGTTCATAAATTTTGCACTTCTTACTCTTTGTAAATCAACTTTCTCCCCTGTTTGAATAGTTCTATTGCTTTCAAAAGGTTGAAAAAAAAATAGTGAAAGGTTGTTGCAGTAAAGGGCTGAATTAAAGACAAGTTTTCAAATTAATGAGCTTCATATAATGAAGGTTTGAAGAAAAAATATCTTCTTGTATGCTTGAATGATGAAATTGAAAAAGAATACTGCAGGAGAAAGCTGATTTACAATACTGGACAAAACTTTAAAACTGTAATGTTCTTCTGTATTTCACATACTATTAGACCTTTCAGGCTGATACAGTAAGAGAAAAAAAAGTGCAATAAAATTTTGACAAAATTTTGTTCATGGTGAAATCATAAACAAGCATTTTCTTGAATTGTCTTTAAAATATATGGCACTCAAAATGAATCTATCTTGATGTTGCCCTCCCGGATGTACAGACAAACAATGTAACAGACTCTCCAATAAACCAGCTCACCATCTAAACCTTAGAAAACTCCTCAGGAAGATTATACAGACCACAGACAAGATTTGCAGGTAAAGCTTTGTCTGAAAACAAGATTAAGTGTAGTTATTGCTACAGTAACTGAAAAATAAGTGCATTAGTGCCAGTAAATGAAATAGGAGTACTAAAAAGAAAGAGGCCCATGGGTCACAATGCTCTCCTGAGTCCCCTTAGCCCTGCTTTCTTCAGATGATATTTATAAGATTTTCCTCCCTCTTTTTCTTCATTTCTATGAATTTCAAACCCCATACTGTGGCCAAAACTATAGCCTCAAGGGATTACATTGTATGACTTGACACAACTTAAATCTACTCAATACTAAGAAGTTTCAATATCTATATGACAAAGATTTTTAAAACTATTTTTCCTTTATACATGCATTGTGTAAAATTTGATTACCAATATTAGCCACGAATTAAAAAAAATTAAAATGTTTGCATATATATATATATATATATATATATATATATATATATATATATATATATATATATATATATATATATATATGACTGCCGTCATGAGAAAAGGGCCCTTATCTTTTGACGTCACAATGCCCAGAAAACGACGTCAAAGTCGCGGTATTGTGCGTTTCATGAACAAGAAATGAAATTGGATTTCCATGTGTTACAAGAAAAACATTAAAATCATACGAAATTTGATGCGGAAATTTTTAATGAATAATATAATTACACACTAGAACGTGTATTTATTAATTACTTTGTTTGAGTATTTAACTTGATATCACATAATTAAGCTAAACGCGACATTGAACTCATTTTTAATTACTACTCCGTCGACAATTTATAGCGATGTGTTTCTCTGACAGGCCCGTAGGAAGCAATTTCACTTTGGGTAGGGTGGGGGGGGGGGGGGGGGGGGCACAGCGATACATTTTCAGTGGAGGGGGCACTATCAACTACCAAACAAGCAAAAAAAAGGTCATCAGACGTTTTTATTGAGGGGGCACAAGCATACAGTATCTATGTTTTCTATAGTAATCTATATATCGGCAAAATTTATGGGGCACGGCCCCCGTACCCCCCCCCCCCCCCTCCGGTTCCTACGGCCATGTCTGATGCATCACTAAAGATACTGAATATTTGTTGTCGGAGCAATTAGCAAATGTTTAAATTTGACTAATATTCAGTACACTAAGTCTTTTTAAATGGTATTCTACAAACACGTATATATTTTTGTTCAGAGAGAGAGAGAGAGAGATCAATGCATATATACACTTCTTTATTCTAAAAAAAAATACCTTCATGTAAAATGAATTTAACCATTTTAACACATAGTTAATCATATCCATATGCGCAGTTAGACCAGCTCAGGGTGAAGCGTCAATATCCAAATGTGTGTTGGGGGGGGGGGGGGGGCAGAGATCATTGAAAAGGGAAAAAAAAATCTGCGAATAAAAAAGCAATCGGTAAAAATTCATTCTAAAAAGAGAACCTTTCTTTTTTATGCGATGGGGGGTATAGATACTGGTATCATGGGAGATTTTCGGACTTCCTACTACAACGAATGAGGGGGGGGGGGCAAACGGCCCCTATATAGATAATTCTTTGTTAAATTCACTGCAAGAGAATATGCAACGGAAGAGGGGGTGCCCCCCCCCCCCCCCCCCCCCCCCCCCCCCGGCCTTTTTCGGGCCTGTTAAGTCTTGCAAGATATTCGGTTTCAATTTCAAATAGATTTCATAAAAAATGTAATTCAACTGTATTTCATTTCGCTCAGAAAAGTCCGTTTAGTATTTATATATATAACAAAAGAGCCAAGAGCAGTACAACCATCTCTTTGATCAAACTATACAATATATACATAAACCATAATGATTTTTTTTTTTAGATTAACGGCCCTTTTAAGAAATGATGAACGATAATTAATGTGTTCAAGTGATACAACAGTAGTGTCTAGGACACAGGTGCCTCATAATAATTTTTAAAAAAAAAGGATCAAAGTACAGAAGCATTTATAACCTCTTTTGATTATGTGTGATTTGCTAAAAAGTAAGAAATTGGCAAAAAATTAAATTTTCATGTAAGGAATAAACTTTCATAAAACAATCCTTTGACATCATTATTTGCCTCTTTTTTATGTTTCTACATCATATCTAAGACAGGCGAAAAAATTGAATTGTATAAACAAAGGAAACTTAATTATTTAAACATTTTATTAAAGTGTTCAAAAAGGCAAAGAAAAATCCCCTTGAAGGTAGTGATCAGATTTTTTTTTTATCAATTATGATTTTTTTTTAATGAAACTTTAAAAAAAAGTTTACACATCATGGCGTATCTGAATTTATTTCCCATTTGAATTTTTCGGTGATACAGAAAATACATGAGGTGTTATTATCCCCTCGTAACAAAGTCATAGAGGATAAAGTAACGTGCGTGTTTGTGGATGAGTGAATGCGTGCTTATATCCCAAAATATTTTTTTAGGTCGGGATCGATGTGCTACTTTTGCGAGGTGATTCTCCGCTTTAATTGCACGAGGAACCCTTCTGGGACATCTATATAGATCTTTTTATATTTTAATATTACAACTGCTTTATATCTTTTATAAATTGAAATAGAGTATTAATAATAAAAAGAATACCTTGTGTGGAATTCACAAGTATTAATTTTTCGACTGAATAAAGAAAGGTTCCTAGATCCTGTCTAGACCCCCACCCCTCCCTTTACGAAATTACTAGATCGGCTCTAATATAGTATGAAAAAAAGTATGCGGCTCCCCTTATGAATAATTACATAATCTAGTTGCTTGGAAGAAAAAAAAATCAACTTTATATGTGTTAAAACGATTAAGGTTATTTTAAAAATGTAGTATTTTAAAGAATGCTTGTAAACTGAATTTGACACACGCGACGTCATTACATTTTCAGTGAGTAACGTCAACGTTGTTTTGAAACGGCCTTACTAAAATGCTCATAAAATACTGAAAAGTGAGATATTCTTAAAAATTGTGTATATTTGCATTCAGAAAGAGTCAGGCTATCAAAATTTATCAGAAAGTCAATTTGTGAAATTTTGACCTTAAGGGCCCTTTTCTCAAGACGGCAGTCATATATTTTACCATGTAAAACTTTAATCTTCTACTGTGGCCCCACTCTATCCCCGGAGGCCATGTTTGAACGAACTTGAATGTACACTTACTGGGGATGCTTGCATATCATTTTGAATAATCATGGCCCTGCTGTTCTTCATCAGAAGATTTTTTAGATTTTTTTTTTCTGAATTTATTTTTTTCCATAAAGAGCTTTGATCTATTCTGGTTCCATTCTACCCCTGAAGGCCATGATTTGAACAAATTTGAAACTACATTACCTGAAGATGCTTGCATATTAATATAACTAATCATTGTCCTGTTCTTCATCTTCAGAAGATTTTTAAAGATTTTTTTTCTCTGTTTTCCTATGTAAAGCTTTGATCTCCAATTGTAGCCCCACCCTACCCTGGAGGCCATGATTTAAAGAAACTTGAATCCTCACTACCTGAGGATACTTGTATATAAATATGTCTAATCATGGACTTATTGTTCTTAAGAAAATTTTAAAAGATTTTTTTAATATCTTTTCCCTTGTTAAATCTTGCTCTCCCACTGTGTCCAAACACTACCCCTGGGGTCCACAATTTTAACAAATTTAAATCTACACTATGTCAGGAAGCTTTCAGATAAATTTCTTCTTTTCTAGCCAAGTGGTTCTTGTGAAGATTTTATTAAAACACTGACCCTAGTTTTGCCTTTTCTTGATTTTGGACACAACTCTTTCATAAGGACACTCTTTGAATCCCATTTACCCAAGGATGCTTTGTGGCAATTTTGGTTAAAATTGGTTCAGTGATTCGATCTAGAGAAGAAGTCAAAAATGTAGAAAGTCAACAAACAAACAGACAGATGGATAATTGACAAACTTTGATCAGAAAGGCTCACTTGAGTCTTTTGGTAAGGTGAGCTCAAAATGTTTTGAAGGACAATGAAAACATAAAAAAATTTGTCTTGTGCATTATGCACTGTAGATACTTCCTTTTCTTCAATGACGATACATGTTTAACTGCAAGCATTCTCAAGGTTTAGTTGTTACATCACTTACCTATTTGTTTGGGGTATGGAAGGTTCAATTCCTTCATTATCCTCACAAACTCTTCTTTAGACTTGGTCAAACGAGGATTCATGGTTTTTTCCTCAGCCACTGTTGTGCTAGTTTGACCTATGTAGAAATATATCATTTTAGAAATCGAGAGAATTGTGGAAAATCTTTATAGAAATCGAGAGAATTGTGGAAAATCATTATAGAAATAGAGAGAATTGTGAGAAAATTGCACTCAAATGCTAGTTTTCCTTCTTCCATTACATTTGTTTGGATTTATTCATTTTCAAATTACTGGTCTGTAGCTGTATTCAGCAAACACCACTTACGGGTATATAAGAATCACCCTATCTGACCACCAAAATGTGTCTGGCCATTACAAAGAAATATTGGAGATGTAATGGTTTGGGCCATGGATATCAGCCTGGGTAGCTCAGTTGGTAGAGCACCTGACTAGTGATGCAGTTGTCCCGGGTTCGATTCCCGATCCAGCCATACATTTTCTCCTTTCCTGTTACAGATTTGGTGCCTTTGACCACCCCTGGACTTGCAGGTGAAAGTCCTGCCAGGGGCTAATAAGAACTTGGGTTGTGTCTTCGAGGGCGAAGACAATTTAAGGCTCGAGGGAGGGATGTAATGGTTTGGGGGTTACAATTTTAATTTGTGGGGGTCTTTTTTCATGGATAACCAGAATTTATTGGTTTGTGGGGAACTCCAATATGCAGAACTCAGCAGATCATTCAAAGAATTGATACTTTTGCAGAGTTTGTTCGTGTGGATGTAAAATTTGTGGGTAAGGGTGACTCATGAAATCCACAAATATTGGTCCCTCATGAACAATGATGATTCCACAGTATCAGTTTTTTCTGGATTATATCTTTGTTATTGAGACATTGGAAGTTCAAACTGACAAAGAGGTTGCTTGTGACATGAAAATGTTCTTGCTGGTCTAGCTGGAATGTTTTTGAAGACCTTTTCATTTATAGTATTATAATTAAAACAAAATTGTTTTCTTTAACCCATAATGCCTTGTGAACATGACCAAGGGCTTCTTAAGGTAGTACACAACACCCATGAAATGTTTTAATGCATAACTTATAAAGTACACCAGAAAAAAAGAATAATTTCACTATAATGTCAATAATGAAGGATCTTTGTAAGAAAAATAATAAGCTGTGACATGTTTCCACCATATTTTTTGAAGAAAATTAGAGACATCCTATATATTGGTCATTCAGGAGCCTACATTTTGGATTGTGTTTGTGCCATCTACATGCCATATGACTGTCTGCTTTTAAATGCAAAATAACTTTTGATCCATTTATACCAGAGACCTGATATTTTGACATATTTATAAGGAGTCTCCATTCTTTTTTTTTTACAATAAAGGTCAAGGTCATATTAAGAGGTCAAAGGTCAAATATAGTGACATCATCTACTGAATCTTGACAGTTTGCAATAGATCAATTGGTTATTTTTAAATAATAAATAAATAATCTCAGGTCCACTGTCTGATTTCATAATCTTTTTTCTGATAGACTATATTTCAGACTATTTTGGCAAAAAATTTCTGGTTGAATTCCTTTCATATTAAATATAAAAAGAGATTTTGTATCCTAGAACAAAATATCAAAGTTTAAACAAAATTGAATTTGAGGAAAAAATTTTTCCTATCTATTGTGTACTACCTTAAGAAGATTGAAATGTAGCAACCTGGTTATCATTTTGTGAGCTGTGTCTCTAGTTTTTATTTAGAATAGATTATAAAAAAATCCTCTGTAAACAACACACATAGATATCTCCAATTACGCGGCTATGTTAAGGCTGTCCGAAGGTTTATATGCATTAGAAATACACTATTATATTTTGAGCTAGATTTTTATTTCAGTTTGTAATCTATGTATACATGTGCAGTAAATTTGTGAAGAGAGTTTAATAACACATTGAGAAAAAGCATGTTTGTGATGTCACATGACTGTGTTGATCATGTGACGGACACTTTTAAATTTTCCTAATTGTTGCACAAAAATCCCATCAGCACAAGTGAAAAACAAATTATTGAGAACAGTTTGTTACATAAATCAATTAAACATATTCTTGGGAATATATATTATAGTGCTGGGGGGCAAGTATGAGTTTTACTTCTTAAGAAAATATTTCACGAGAAATTCAACTTACCCACATACAAGGGAGCATTTTCCACTCTTCATTGCAATTTATACAAAATAGGATAAATTACATACAATCCCCCAGCAAAATTCAGTTAGAGGACATACTTCTCTAGTAGATTCACATAGAATATCTTCAGGTTATCTTTATTAATCACTTGTGCCAGTCTAATATATGCATGATTTATAAATTCTAACTCTGTCTATGGACGTGTAAGGGGAGCGTTTCATATTTATTTATTGCTATTGTTTGAATACGTAGATTTATCAGAAAGAGAAAGGAATAACGATATTGTATTGCAAATAATCACCATCATAACAGCACATAGAAACTTTAACCAACAATTCAGAAACTTGATTTAAACATCAACGTCGAAATAAAATCTACATGCCTTGGGAAGGAATGTAAAAGTTATGACACTTTCCCTGTCATGACTGCTCAAGTTTGCAGTGACTTGACGTCATATTCTATTATGACGTCATATCTTGGTAGTTCAGAGAAGTAACAATGGCTGGTACACTGTGATATTTATCGGACAGCCTTATCCTAGCTGTGTAATTCAAAACAACAGTTAAAAATATCTGTCAGTTTTCATTGCTTTCATATACCTGTGTAGTCATGGGCAGGAAACAGAGTATAGTTTGGAGGAAGGGAGAAAATCTTCTCATGAACAGAGTTGTACAAAGTCTCCGAGCTTCCTGTATGAATAGCAAAAAGAAATAATCTGTACATGTATATCAAAACTCTACCGGTATATGAATAACCGTTTTTGTAGAGATTTTTTGGATGTACTGTTACCATATTAATTTGCTGTATATTTTACCTTCCTGGAAATCTGTTCTGCCACAACCTCTGACCAGTACAGCATCTCCAGTAAAAGCCATTGCTTTCTCATGCCATACATAGGTGACACACCCTGCAGGAAATCCATAACAAATACCCGGTATATATTACAGTGTATATTCTTTATCATGTAGTTTCATTGGTGAAGAAACCCCAAATCTCTCTGTTTGAAAATTGAATAGTAGGTATGGAAACATTAGACACCCACACACATACACATAATTACTCTTAGAAAGGCTTTACAATACTAATGCATGTAGTTGCATACATTTGTAATTGCATACATTTGATTAATTACAGTCTATACATCCTTAATATAAAATTAAAAAAAAAAAGAAAAACAAAAAAATTTAGTAAAATATAAGCACTTTCATTTCAAGCGCTTTTACAATAAGAAACGTAGCAACATAATGTCATGTCATAATAAGCAGAATATTAAACACAAGAGTCTATAGTGACCACATAGTTAAACAATGCAGGAAAACTGTAGAATGAAAATATTGATGTACAAATGTGATAACGATTATGCTAAATTGTTAAGTTTAGGTTTGAAATTATGTATAAAATTTATATGTTTATACATATTTTCAAACCTTTCAGTGCTAAAGCTTTACTAAATATTTTCGTGTTTCTTTTTTAAAATTGTCTCTGTAATTTTACCAAGCACTGTTGATTATATTTGTATTTCAGTATAAATGTATATTAGATTTCAGTTGGGGAATCCTACTCTAGAGTTAATTTTCAGGGGGGGGGGGGGGGGGGGGGAATCCTATTTAGTGTCAGGGGTGGGGTGGGGGTTTAGGAATGATATCATATTCTACATGACTGGCACATTCATGTTCATACATCTCATATATCTGACAAACTTTGTTCAGAGAAGTTTACTCAACCTACTACTTCAGATAAAGTACCAGGTAAGTAGGGGATCTATTGAGAATACAGTAAAATAAGAGAAGTCACATGGACCCTTAATTCTGCTTCTTTTATAACCAAGATTCTTTATATCTATATAAGGAACATAGTGAAAAATCTTCTATGGGATTCGTATAAAGTTCCTTATAACCCAGATTACCTCATAAGAGAGTTCTCTATAACCAAGTTTTACTGTATGCATGTATTGATCAAATGCATTCACAAAGGTTTTCATGTGTAGTACCAGTTGCTAAACACTTAAAACAGTATGTTTTATACAAAATGTTGTTTTGTAATGAAATATTAGCTTACCATTTGTATGACCTGGTGTACTTTTCACCTCTATCTCGTATTTACCGAAGGTCAACTTATCCCCTTCTTTAACCTTGACATCTGCTTCTGCCTTACTGGCTGCTGAGATGACACTCTTACATGTGGGGATCTGTTTCTTAATGAGTCCAGTACCAGTGATGTGATCAGCATGCACATGGGTGTTGACTGTAAATATATATACATATAGGCCAGTTAGGTGCACAGATTGTCAGTAACATACAGACTAACAAGGTGTACGTGTCCTTGTTTTATGTGATCTAGCCCACATATTATAGATAAAAAATTTGTCTCAAAATCTATAACCCTGACCTTAATTTGATAATTTAAAACAGTTGACATGGCCATTTCGAATGATAAAGCAAATTGTAAATAAAAGCTTACAGTTTCAAGTAGATCAATTTGATTTAAGTCGAACAGACCGGAGCATTGCCCTATATATAGATAAAAAGTCTAATCTATAAATAGATTCAGGTTAAAAACTAGTTCAGTTCTTGATCAAAATTCAGTAAATACTGTAGACCTTTGTTTAAATTTTGCTATCATTTATATTTTTAAAATTAGATTATCTAAATTTATTATAAAGTCTCACACCTAGTCAATTTTCAACAAGATATGCTGCATATTATGAATTTAGTTAAGTTTGTCATAATAGACTTTCGCTGAATCTAAAAAAAAAAAATTTGTATTAATCCATATACTTACATAACTTTTTTGATTTTAAATAATACTTTGGTTCAGGGAATAATTAAGGTTTATATAAGCACAACTTTAAGGAATAGATCTTTTCCAAGGAGTTTATAACCTAGTCATCCATCCCAAAAATTTTGGTCAAATACATGCAGCATCTAAAGAAAGTCAATGTTTTTGTGCATCTTTTGATGCATCATTCGTGTCAGTTTGGTTAGGGCATATAGTTACTGGGAATGAAACCTGCAACAAAATTTTTAACCTGATCCACTGGCAGTTAAAGTTATTGTAAATTTAGAGTATATGCATCATTACAATTTTATGCATGCACATACTCTATATATAGTGATTTTACATCATATAAATATTGCATGTAGTTGAGTGTAACATTGAAAATTTTCACCCCAAGAAAACCATTGTCAACCGAGGTGCAGCCAAGGTTGACAATGGTTTTTGAGGGGTGAAAATTTTCAATGTTACACTCAACTACATGCAATATTTATTATATTATACTGAATGTTTTATACAAATACATATAATAGTGAACCATGCGCACATAAATTCTGCGCAGTCACTATTTTTTGGAATATCTCCCGTCGTCAAGCAATGTTGACTGTTGCTATGCTGGAGGGCATGGCTTCATCATTCAGCGGGTAATAGTGTTTTTTAACAAATGTTTCTCGATGAATTAGATTCAACTAATATACATGAAAGTATAATATTAACTTTTAATGCCTGTCACCTGATCAGGAAATGGGTTCAGGTTGTGCATCAGAGGCATTCTGTTAGTAAAGCATCCCAGTGGCACCATCTCTGCAACTCTGGTAAAGGAAGGGCTTATGGTTTCCTGGCAATAGGGCCTTCTCCAAAACCTTTTTACTGGTTGATTTCAATAATTATGATCAGATGAAGCATTTGAATTAATTAGGGCCCCACATGAAAATGTGGTACATGTAGCTCTATAGGAATCAAAACCATCTGTCTATCCATCCTTCCATCTAGCTGTCCATCTGTCTGTCAACAATTTTGTTCTGATGTCTTCACTCAAACAGTTTACAATGAACATTTTTAAAATTTTGGACACATGCAAGTACTTTACTAAAAGAGCAAGACACCTATAAATTTTGGAGTCATATCACTGTCTGTCTGTCTGTATGTGCTGTTTGAATTTATATCCATGACACTTTTGTTGTAACAGAATAACTCAATCAGTTTTCAATAAAATGTTTTCAAATTTTGTACAGAAGTACTTTACAATAAGAGCAAGACAACTAGATTATCTGTCTGTCTCTCCATCCAGATGTCCATCTGTCCTTTAATACTTTCATTAAGGTGCAGTAAGTTGAACAGTTTTTAACAAACTTGTTTCAAATTTGTACATTAATTAGCTTACTCTAAAAGCAAGACTTTGTAGATTTTAGGTCATATTACTTCATCTGTCTGTATGTATGTTTAAATGTATATATCCTTAATACTTTTGTTTTGACGTCATAACTTAGTTTTCAACGTAATGTTTTTAAAATTTTACACAGAAGAATTTACTGTAAGAGAAAGGCTGTTGTTATGAATTTGAGGTTCATATAACTTTTTCCGGTATGTATATATGCCTGTATGTATATCTGCTGTGTACAGTTGTCACTTTAACAGCCCTCAGCGGGGTCCTCTCTACCTATGTCAATTTTTTAGTTCTGATAGTATATGCATCCAAAGTTCACTATTCATGCAAATTAAGGACATACGCAACGTAGTTTAAACTTTATTGTCTTTTTCCCTGGAGTTGAAGAGTTCCAATACTTAAAGGAACTGTGTGCTACATTTAATGTCTATATATGCTGTTGTAAACTTCTTCTAAAACAAGTTTTGATAAACAAAACATCTAGAATATATGTTTAGTAATTTTTGTATATTTTTCTTTGAATTATACAAAAATTTTCATCAATTGATATCTTTTGAAAACCCCTGGTAATACATGCTGATTTTTTGTCTATGAACATCTGATGGCACTATAATCTTAAATTCAGATTATCTTGAAAAATTATCAGAAGGTAAGGTACGTTGCATATGTCCTTAAGTCTAGGTAGAGTTCACTGGTTCGTGGGAAAGTATCTACTCAATAACTTCAACCAGGCCATTCATTTAGATATAGATTATATGCAGCATTACAGTCATGCTAGTAGTAAGCATCCAAAATGGGCAAATTATCCATGCAAGTTTGGTCTAAGTATGCTTCTGGTTATTTATGAATGAATCTGCCCCAATAAAATTTTAACCTGGTCATTCCTTATAAAGATATAAAAGTGAGATACCGCGAAAGCAGGCCCTGGCATACAAGTTTATTCATGTATTACACTACAAAAAAATACTTGGGAACTGGACATGGTTCCACAACTTTAGTCCATGATGCTAACAATTATCCTGATGTCATACTAACATAACAAAAATGTACAGCTTTTCCCACCTTTGTGCAGTTAAATTGGGGTACAGTCAAACCTTGTTATCTCAAACTTGATGTGACCAAGAAAAAAAACTTTGCTATATCAGAAGGTTCGAGATATTGAGGGTAAAATACTTTGAAAAAAGTGCTTTGGACTTCAAAATCACTTGGACATATCCATGGTATGCGACCTATCAGCCTTAAAGATACAGAAGTTCAGCTGTAATTATTGGGAGTACAACAGTAACTAAGAAAATATTTATGAGGATTGAGGAACTGCCACACTTAAATCAGTGTGTCAATTTCATAAAAACAAAATAATCACCTGCATATTTGAGATTAAGTCCAAGATCCTTGACTAACTTGGTATCTCTGGCTACAGTATCAATGACAGGATCAATCAGAATTGCTTCCTTTGTGTCAGGGTCAGCAAGGAGGTAGGTGTACGTGAAGGATTTATACTCCAGTAACTGCAATGAAATACATGTACAACCAAATATAGGGTTGAAATTAGGTTTTAGCCCTTATATAATGATTCAAAGTCTCATTTAACTTGTCATGTTATTGGTATTTAGTTCGTTGTTTAATATAGAATAAATCTTTCCAACAGTTTTTTCTATGTTTAGCGTCTGCGTGCGCCTTGGTTTTTGACACCCCATATCAGAAAAAACAAGCAAAATCAGGAGTCCTGAAATTGTTTATTCTGGTCAAAATCACTGAATTCTGTGAATTAGTCTAAGTATTTGTCTACAATAAGTCATATTTGGAATATTGTAAGCATTTAAAACCTTGATTTTGCTGAAGAATAGATATTTCTATAGAATAGATATAGAAAAATAGATTAATGGAACCAAATCCTTTGGAAGACATCATTTTTATTACTATAAAGACTTGTGTTTTACTTTTTGGTTTGTTTTTTGCGAATAGGTAGGTAGGTATTTGAAAGATGGGTGGACACTAAACATAGAAAAAAATTGGAATGGCCTTACTGTAAACTGATCAACTTTCCGTTTATTTTTTCTCTTGCAATCTTGTTGACCTGAGTAATGAACTCGTTTTTTGCCACAATTTTTCCATTTGGGTGATTCCCAGGTAAATTGCAAAGATTGCACACATAGGTTAACAGTATTCAGTGTTGGTAAACAGTTTTCAGGACATGTATATTTCCATATAAAATTGATAAAACTTTAAGTATACCTGAAATTTGTTTTACTATCATTTGATAAAAGATATTGCTTTGGGACATGAAATAATAACAACCACCAGCTTAAATTTAAAAGGAAATTATGCATCATAATAACGTACTTGTCTGAAGACATAGTCTTTGTCTTTTCCAGAAAATCCCGACATTTTCCTTGGAAACTGACGATGCAAGACTTTACTAAAGACGTAATTATTTGAAAGGAAAGGCAGTTCGGCACGCGAATTTTTGCAACTTGTATGCAGCTTCCTTGCCGCTGACAACGCCAAACATTTGTCGACGGAACAATATAGTCCACGAACGTTCAAACTACAAATTAATTTACTCCGACATGTTGCCATTCTATGTGAATAACCTTACACAAATCTTCCCAAATCCTTGATCTGGAAGGGGTCTTTTTGTTTACAAGTTTCTCAGTTTGCACATGCGCAAATGCTATAATATATCAGGTACAGAGGACACAAGTACTTAGGAAGGAGGCCTCCAAGTCACGTTCCGAAAGTAACTGTTCTTTTGTACGTAGGTAATATCTTAAAGATGACGAAATCAAAATAGGATAAGCATAAGAAAAGATAAAATCAATCTTTCAGGTTCATATTTAAAAAAAAAAAGTGAAGACGTACTTTCACTTTCAATATTTAATTCACTTTAGTTTTGTTGACAATATAAGGGCCTAACGTTACATTTCGGCATACAGTCATAAACATTAATACCATAAAACTAATGAACACGATTAATACATGTATATACAGAGAGACAAATGTGGGGTTAACAAAATAATGTAGAGTATATTCACATATTTTTAAGTGCATTCAAATTTGTGTATATTCATTGCTGACTTTCTTTTCTGGTGTCAAAGCACTTTTTCAAGAAACAACATATCCTTCTAGCAGTTGTAATATTTGTAGGATTGACAATTTTTCTAATGTGATTATCACTAGTATATGTGTTTGCATTAAATTTATCGATGTACTTCTATATTGGTTATACTTTGAACAGTATAGCACATGTAGAACAAAAGTTGTTTTTTTTTCATTTTCAATAAACAATTTACATGAATAGCATAGACGTTTTTCTCTAGGAATAGAGGGTTTACAGTATCTACCCATTTCAATTTACAGTGGACATGGTGGATGGGCACTGATCCTTAATTTTGTTAATACAGATCTATAACTTTTTTTCCAAAGGTAGTTTAAATAACTTTGCAATTTGTATTATGAATATATTGCCAAACCCCTTAACTCCATCACTACCCTAACTCTGTCACTTTTAGGAAATGCCTCGCTGTTTATAAATGAATATGATTGTGGTGTCATTTTTTACATGCTGAAAATCTATAATTGGGCCATCATTAACATGATTAAAAATATCTTTGTTTCCCCTAACCCGACCCTAAAATCTCAAGTTGGATAGGTAGGTAGGCAAATAATTTTTTTTTTCCTGATAGCAGCTTTGAAAATACATTCTGCAATTTAATGGAATAATACCTTTATAAATGAAAGAAAGTAATTTGTAAACAGAATATCAAACAATTGCCGTTTAAAAGCAAAATTTAAGGTAAATTTACAATTCACAACAATTATTCCTTGTAAAATATCTCAAGAAAGTGTAAATTTATTGAAATCAAATGCTAAAAAAAGACTTTAAAAATACTTAGATACGTAAAGACTAGACATCTGAGTATATTTTTCAAACCTACTATCAGCTTCAAATGCTTACATATGCAGAGTACTTTTTCAAGGGCCTCGAATTGTGAATTTCAATTTGGGGTCCCGAAGTAAGAGCTACAATGTAATTCTAAGTTGCAGGTTCAAATCACATTGTGAGACGTTGAGACCGGTCAGACTGTAAAATTTAGGCCCAGTGTCACAGTAGATGCTGGTACAAAAATGATCCATCACTGCTCAATGGTAAAAAGTGCTGAGTTCAAGTCTAAATTTGGAGCCCTTCACAGTTCTCAAAGGAAAGTTCCTAAAGTAAAGAAACAACCTATCTCCAAGGGCCTAATTAAAGAAAAGTACACTGGACGTCTCAGGAAGCTGTATCACGATTTCAAAATTATATTTGGAAAGAGTTTGTAAACAATATTCAATTGAACCAAACCATGATCTAAAATGATAAAATGTCATACACGATGTCATAGTCATGAAGCTTAACCCATGAATAAAAGGCATGAATAAAGAACGTCTGAATTTTATTCGTCGGAATGAAATATCATATGCACACATATTTACAACTCCTGTAGTCACATATAGTAAACATAAGAACATAAATGAACAGTCTCAGATTAAATAAATTTAAAATTGATTGATATGTTCACAAGGTTGGCCCCTCATCTGCTTTTAAGGTGACTACTCTGTACCTTAATTTTAAAAGATAGGTTTGAAAATATCACCAAATCACAATTAGTCATAGTGAATTTTATTAACGAAATGTTACAAGTGAGTAGGATTCTAATAAGCTAAAGGCAAAAGGTGAATACGTCACAAGAACCCTCCGAGACCACAATGTTATGGGCACCATTTTGTTTCCAACGAACGCTTGAAAATCACAGTAGATCAAAATCGGTCATTCTCATAAAAACCGGATTTTGGTGAAATTGTATTTTATGAAAGTTGATGAACAATAAAAAAAAAATTTGAATAAACTTATTTAAAAAAAACTTTTCAGTCGGCGATTTAATTGGGTCGGTCGCGTTAGGGGAAACAAACATATTTTTAATTTTGGCCTTGCCGAGAAATTATAACAGTCAAGTTCAAGAATGCTTAAAAAAAATAAATAGCAATTACATGTGATATATCGTATCTATCATATATTATTGGAAATCACTAAGCACCTTTTCCTTTATGCGCTATTTCATCAATATCTAAGACATGTGGGTCAACATGCTCAATTTTACATGTCAGCCACTTTTATGAAGGTCTATGTCTCTTCTATGCTCTTCTTTTTTCCCTAAGTGGGGGACACAAATTCTCTGAATTAGCTTGTTAAATATAAGGTAAATGACGTCATTTTTTTAAATAGTAATGAAAACAACATATAAGTTCATTACTACATTTAGCAAAGAAGAAATAAATTTTAAAATATAATTCAGAGAGTAATGCGGCATGTTTACCGATTATGGTGATGGAGTTAGGGTAGTAGGGGATACCATAAATGTGTGACACCACAAGGTTTTGTCAATATATTACCCACAAAAAATTACTGCACGTTCTTCTGATTTTATTATTGTTAACCATTATTTACTCTATAAATTTAAATCCCGATATTAGAAATTTATTATATAATTTTTCTGCATGTTCTGTCTAGAAAATTAATTACAGGCCTAATTAGTACGGAGGATATTGCATCAGATTCAGAGGCATATATTCTTATGTTTCTGCTCTATCTTTCTAGTGATGGACAGTCAGGTGGCACGAGATGGCCGTCTGATGGAGTTAGTGGATGAGAAATGGAGAGAAGACAAACTCCCAATGGAGGAAGTCGCTGTGCCGCAGATGGAACTCCCAGAAATAGAACCAGACAATGGACCAACCAATGAGACCTTAAAAGAGCAGGAACAAAAGTGGACTGACTTGGCTTTGTCATCACTGCATGATCAGCCTCCTGCGACCACTAGTAACTGACTAACTGATAATCATACAGAGTACCCTCTGGTGTTTATACGAGGTCAAAAAAGTATTAAGTGTAAGGTTATCATTAAAAGTGATGATTATTCCCCATCTTCAGACATAATTTTTAATATATATGCTACCAGCATGACCAATCTACAATTTCAAATAATAATGTCAAACACTTTTGAGAAAATTGGAAGCTAGGACTAGTGGATTCCTGAGTGTGCAGCTGTACTTGTGAAGTCCATGCAGTGAAATGAACTTGGTGAGACCGAAATGAATTATGGACCAAGTGAATTTCAATCAGCAGATGTATCTGAATTATTTTATAATAAATTTTATCAAAACATAGTATTGTTTATTACATTGCATTTCATTTTGAACATAGCTCGTGATCAGTACACTTCCAATGCATATAGTTGTCATGAAATACACTCCATATACCATATTCATTATTATTTTCTAAACTTTAAATATAGGTAAAATGAAGATGAGATGTATGCATTATTGCAATCGAACTTTACCTTGACCTTTATTTGATCAAATTCAATCTTAATCATGCAAGGATGCTCAGAGGCAAGTTAGGCTAAATGGTTCAGAAGATGAAAATATAGTTTAGAGATAGATATATGTGCAGGAAAGCTCATTTGAGCCTAGAGTGAGGTAAGAGGTACTTCTTGCTTTCCCTTGACCACTTTAAATCTGCTATGACACTGCTTAGGATGAATATCATTGCTATTTGTCACCGTACTCCAGCATACTTCTGACTTGGCGCTGCATTATATAAGGAGCATAGGAACTTTAACCAAGGCTCTTACTTGTAGGAGTACCTATCACTGGTGATGAGTGAATTTTTATGCCCCCCTCCTTGAAAAAGTGGGCATATTGCTTTGATCTTATTGGTCAGTCAGTAGACCAAGTGTTGTCCTCTCATAGTCTAGAGAACCCTTTGACAGACATCAAACTTGGTACATGTGCACTGGCAACTCCTGATGAGTAGATGACCCCTATTGATTTTGAAGTCACAAGTTCAAAGGTCAAGGATCAAATTACAGGTACTCTAGACATAGGAAGATCTTGTCCATTACAAGTACAGTAGCACCTGTACCTCCTGAAGAGTAGACACAGGAAAATTTTAGTCCATTCAATATCTTGAGAATTACCATTTGCTTGACGGACATCAAACTTTGGTACACAGTTTTTTCTAAGGAGTAGTTGACCACTGTAGATGTTGAGGTCACAGGGTCAGAGGTCAAGGGTCAAATTACTCTAGACATTGGAAGATACTGACTGCTCAATATCTTGAGAACCCTTTACTTGATAGACATTAAACTTGGTACACTGGTTACCCCTAGGGAGTATATGAGCCCTGTTGAAAGCAGTTTTACTGTATATTCTTTTTGTTGGCCAGAGAATTTAAAGAATGTTGTTTTGTGTATTATTTTAAAGTCATTACATGTAAGACAATACCTAGACTGTAACAATAAAATTTGCCTTTAGTTATTTTTTAATTGCGATATTAAATTATTACTAGATAGAACTTGAACAAAAATATGACTTTCAAAAAGAAAAAAATATATTGAAATAAGATTAAGATTATAAAGCTTGTCTTGATGGATAATTTTGTGACACGGTCTTGTACCAGATGAATGCATCAGTAAGCATATCCTTATAGGCCTGAAAATCTACTCAGAAAATAGTACTGTCCACAGCAAATAGCATTTCTAGATCATTATTCAGTTAATATTTGTGCAGGACATACATAGTACAGGTCTTAGCTTAACTTTGGAATCTTGAACACCAATACCCAGAATACCA